TTAATCATACGACCCTATGGCCATTGGCCTTTTACAAGGGTCAAAAGAAAACTAATGATACAAACATTTACAAAGTAAACAATCAACAAAACAACAAAAAAAAAACAGAGAAGAGAAATACATAAAAAACAAAAAAAAATACACTCAACTAATCGCATCTCAATATTTTTACAGCCCGTTTAAATTGTCCGTAAGTACACAAATCTTTATATTCTTCTTTTAAGGCATTCCAATTATATATAAGTTGATAGATTGGTGCATCTCTTCCAAAACTGTGCTTAATTTTTGGTAAAATCAAATTGTTTCTCCATCGGTAGTTGTAATTAGAAGGCCTAAAATATTTATTTAATTCTTCGCTTATATAAGAATTTTTCTTGCTCACCTTTATTAGTTTAAAACCTTCCAAAAGAACTTGTTTTTTATATAAAGCTTTTATTTTATCAATTTTGATCTGGTTATAAAAAGAAGTGACAGAGGAATCATAAGGCAACTTATATAATGCTCTTATAAAGTTATTTTGTATAACTTGCAACCTATTCAATACAAAAGAAGAAGCTGTACCCCATACGGAAATACCATATCGAAGTTTAGGTTCCATGCAAGCGTGATACAAGCGCAAAACAGTCTCACAATTTAAAAAACTCATTATTCTTTTCAGTATTCCAATATATCTAGATAAAGACAGTGTTAAATTATTTATATGATTGTTCCATCGTAACTTATCATCAATTTCGATACCTAAATATTTTACAGTATTAACTCTTTGAATACGTTCATTATTTATTCTTACTTGTATATCTTCTAAATTCACTTTTTTGTTTTTATTTGATAAACAAATATAATTTGTTTTATTTTCATTTACTCTTAAGTTATTATTTTCCATGTACTTACTTAATTTAGATAACAAAGAGTTTATATTATTTTCAACCAAATGAAGATTCCAATCTGCATATGTTATAACAATATCATCTGCATACAATATAATATTATTCTCAGGAATAGTCTCTACAATATCATTTATATAAATATTAAAAAGTAAAGGGCCCAAAACGGATCCCTGTGGTACACCTTTGTTAACTCGAAATGGTTTTGATATTGAATTTTTTACCTTAACATAGTACGTACGATTTGATAAATAGGATATTAGCCATTCCAATGGCACACCTCTCAATCCAACTTTAAACAATTTTTGTTTTAATATCTTAATATCAACACTATCAAAAGCCTTGGTCAGATCGATAAACACCGCCATTACAATATTTGCATTATCGAGACTGGTGCTAATATATTGTTTAAGATGAGTCAAAGCATCAATTGTTGAGGCCTCTCTTTTAAAACCATACTGATTTTTACATATAATTTTATTTTTATTGATGAATTCAAAAAATCTACTATAGAAAACCTTTTCAATTATTTTAGTTATACTCTGAATAATAGTAATTGGACGATAGCTCTCCAAGTTCTGTTTAGATCCTTTATCTTTAAATATTGGGATTACGAGATTGTGTTTAAGCTTCTCCGGAAATCTCCCATACTTAAAGGATTTATTAATTAAATAAGATAATGGTAAAGCAATTATATCTGCTATTTGTCTTAAAATAAACATATTTAGCTTATCAATATCCGGAGTGTTTGCTTTTACACTCATAATATAATCAAAAATCTCTTTAGGAGAAGTCTCTTCCAAAACAAAAGAGTCGAGTATACAGCGTAAAGAGGAATATGAGAAAAAATTATTTTTTAACGTTAATGTCACAAAGCCTCCCATCTGTCTATAATGTTCAGCAAATATATTACTTATTTTTTCTTCATTTTGAAAAAATTTACCATTATATTTCAACTGATTAATTTGTGCATTATGTCTGTCCGCCACAAATATTGAAGTCGTAATATCACTAGAAAAACATTTAAAGCATATAAATTCATATTAAAAAAAATATACATTTACATTAGTGATGTAACGAATATTCGGTTACTATTCGGTATTTGGCCTATTTTTCACTATTCGGCCGAATACCGAATATTTAATCACTATTCGGCCGAATACCGAATATTTAATCACTATTCGGCCGAATACCGAATACCTAAAAGCAGGAGTAATAAATAACAAAAACACAGTAAATTAATCATTTTGTTATTTAGATTTAATGTTATCGAGTTAGTGTTGTTTGTTTATATTTATTTATAACTTATAACATGCACGAAATATAAAATAATAATAATAGTCACTTGTATTCACAATTTATAATTACAAAGATCAGCTCACGTACACACCTATTGTTGGAGAATCGTCGCACATCTGAGGGTCTGACCCTGCCTATCCTTCTTAAGTGCTCGTCTTTGCTCTTCCCTTTCTCTTTCCTCTATCGCTCTAATCGTATTATGACGTATGCCTGTGCATACATCATAATACGTGCTCACGATACTTTCGATTCGTCACTTTTCCGTCGTAGAGTTCCCATTTTACAATTACGTGACAGCCTGATGATAACGGAGAAAAGAGACAGATAGGACGTCGATATAAGTCACAGTTATGATTTTACAGATTCGAGACACCTTGATAGCCCGAACGGCCCCAGGCTTTCGCCTGTGCACGCTAAGTGACTTTCATTACAAGCATTTAGCTTTCCGAAGTGTATGACGACAATTGTTTGGCTTTGACGGGCGCGAATTTCGTGCCAATAAGCTGCCTTGACTTGTTCGATTATGTTATCAACTCAATTTCTTATTTATTTTCACATTTTCACTTCGCGGTCCTTCTCTGTTCTTTTTCCGTTATTTACACATGTAGGTCATTTCATTGTTATACACATTTGATATCATCATTTATCACATACTTCCATGACACTCTTGTCTGTCCGCTACAACTGCCAAGAATTAACGCGATTGGCGAAGCGTAGTGACAGCGGGCCAATAGAGA